ACCGATCTGTACTTAGTCATTGAAGGCCCCATGACACTGTTTGAAAGATTAGAGTGCCCAACCGAGTTCACCCGAGTTACATTAGTGAGATCCATAGAGAAGCTAGAAATTGCTTCTCCTGACTTGCTGCGCTTCAGTGGGTCACCTGCTGTAAGTGCTTGGGTTCTTTGGGATGAAAAGTGCTATATAAACAATAATTCTTATTTATTATTCATGATTGTGATGTTGTGCATTTATTTAATGTGGTAAGTGTGAACTTTGTCCATATATTTAAAGCCAGATAAGCTGTGTTGGTGCTGCCTTTACAGTGATTAGACCAAATTATCTACTGCTATCACACTTCAGAGCAGACCAGGACTCCCAAATGTTGAGCAACTGTGGACCTGTTTCAGATTAGCCCTTTCTTGTCAAAAACTATCTAAAATGGGCAGTATTGGCTCGGTCTCGTCTTGCGGCTGATGAGCTCTTTGAATCTTTTCAGTCTGGGTCTAGACGGTGTTAGGGTATTGTATCAGCGAGCTCCAGTTTATCTAAGGATTCCTCATGAGTGAAGTCCAGATTTCAATCTGAGATCTGCTGATTCAGAGTTTCTTGCTCTGTGGAAGACCAGGCTCCATGTGATACAGCTTTGTTGCACCACTCACTGCTCATTAGAGTCTGCAGCTTTAAATGTTTTCAGATTTCCCTTGGAGACCTTCTTTTTCTCTCTTTGTTTTTACGTTTGCTTTAAATTTACTGCTTCACTAGGCTATGGTTTTGTTTTGTTCTTTTGCTTTTTATGTACATAACACACATGTATTACGTGTGCTCTTTTCAAGACTATCACACCTTGATTGTTTTGCAGAGTGCTCATAACTCATATTGTTAATAAAAAGGTTATAAGCTAATATATAACTGACGTCTAGATACAGAAATGTTGAGCTGTACACACATTTTTAAAAAAAAGGTACAGTATATGTAGGACTAAATTAATTGAAGCCGTTTTATCGCTTAAAAAGTAGAAGTTAGTATCTACAACCATGCTTTTAAAAACATAATATGATGCAGTGTAGTTCAAACTGTTAAGTAGAAGTGGACACCAAGGGCAACTGGTATACAGTTATTCTTTTCTACACCGTCTGTTGTAAAAATAAATTAAATAAATAAATAAATAAATAAAGGCCAGTAACATGGTAAACTGAATGTCTGGATCACGGTATAGTAACCAATGCCTTTATTTATCAAATTGCTAGGATTAGCGATCCTGTTTACAGTCCACAATGACATTAGTTCATCTTCATCATTCTATTGATTCTTTTTGCCTGAGCTGTGTGTTCTCTCTCCGAGTCAGTTCTGTGGCCACAGTGCTCAGTACTGACAGGCCTTGAGCGTTGTATTTGCTCTAACTGGGCTGGTGTGTGTCTCTCCCGTAGTGTGGCATGTTGCACTACACAGCACTACAGTCTGCACTGCAGTCCCTCAGGCATGGGGGTGCAGTTGTCTTGCAATTCCACTCATGCAAGGTGCTCGAAAGACTTCAGGAAGTCCCATAATGAAGCAGTTAGCTGTCACTAAGAAGCATTGCAAAATCAAGCACATCCATACCGTGTGACCATTTCTGTTTCACATTGACTAAACGCAGCTGTTTAGAATGAAACCTTGATAGCAAATTAATTTATGAAAATGTACCGGCTGAAAAATAACTGTACTCTGTGATCAAGTTGGCTTTGCAGCACCTTTTTCTTATCGGATTAAAACTTGTGATGAGGTTCATTATTACTTGATATGAGAAATTGGTCTTGTGAAGTATCACTCTAATTTCGGGCATTAAGGAAATCATTTCTGTCTAATCATTCATTTTAGCTATTATTATTTTGGCTATTATCATAAACAACTAATTATGCTGTTTTGCTGTAATGAAAGTAGTGGATTTATGTTTTGTTCCAACCACCGTGTATTGTAATGAAATGTATAATTATATGTTAATATATGTTAATTTAATCTTTTTAATCAGAAATAGTCAGCAAAAACACACCCAAGAATCTAGACAAAAAACTGCCTCATTTTCTTTCACAGAATAAAAATGTGATTTTTATTACATTTAATTTAATAAACATGTGACTTTTTAAGTTGCAATTCTTTCTGATTAGTTAAATTAGTCAAAGTAACCTAATAATCCTGTTTATTGCCCACTGCCACTGTTTGAACTGAAAGATAAGAATGGTATTTTATTAGTGCCCTGTGTTATACCAATTGTAAATGTATAATTAAAAAAGAGGACAGCAGAATCTTCTTTTTGTGATGAGAATGCACCATAGATGTTTCAGAACTGTAGTGTGTACTCCTTTATCTTGTCAGTAAGTACTTCTAAAACCTTCAAGTAAAAACAGAACCTTGTCTCTGTTCACACATTGATTCACAATCGGTGCGTAGTTTCGCTCTTGCACGCTATTCACGTTGAAAAAGGCGGCTTTATGACCTGACTTACCACCGGAGGCACAAGCGGCGCCTCGGAGCACACCGAGCCACCCGCATGAGCTTGAACCCGGCGCCAACCACAACGGGCGCATCTCTCGCTGGCAGCTCCCAGTCCCTCGGGCGCTCGTAGGCCGAGTGGGCACCGGTGTGCGCCCTGCCCGTGATTTCCCTGGCTGGCTCCGCTCCACCCAACCTCGGGTGGGCTCAGCCAGTGACACGAGTCCTCGGGAGATCCCGGCCAAGACTGGCCCAGAACGGATCTGTGCGTTTCCCTAGCGACCTCCCAGCCGTCCAGCAGCTCCTGCCCTGAACGTCTTTCCTTGACCGAAGCGTCCCTGATGGTCCCTGATGGAGTTATTTGAGGTTCTGGGTTTGCTCTTTCTCTGCTCCAGCTTGAGGAGTTTCTAATGCTGTGGCCTTCTCCGTTTCAGGCCTGGCCTACGCGTTGCTGGCTGCTGTGCCTCCAGTGTATGGCCTTTATTCTTCTTTTTATCCAGTTCTGCTGTACACATTCTTTGGAACCTCAAGACACATATCAATAGGTAAGTCTACACTGGTGTTCCTCTGCCCGTTCAGGATGGCAGAATGCGCACCGCCGCTGAGAGCAGACTGTGCAACACTGTGTTACACAAGATTCGTCCTGTCGCAAAAGCAAAAAAAGCTTTAATTATGTTACGTAATCATTTACCAAAAAAATGCAATCTGTTTTCTGTAATGAGTGTCTTGTGTAAGAATGAGTCTTTGCAATTATGAAGTTAAGAATATAACTGATAATTGAAAATGTTCTTCAAAATGTTCCTTGATATCAAGGCTTCCATACTATAATAATGTGAACAAAAGAGATACCTGTACTTTTAAGTATTTCTTGGCAATAAAGTGAAGAATTATTTAATGAATTTAAAAGTAATTTGAATTGATTTTCAATGACTGTAAAATTAATTTGATTATTATTTATTATATGGGTCTGCATGAATTCAGCTGAGTGATGTGCTCTGTCTCTGTGAAAAAGAAACACCTGGCTAGTTTATAGAAGACATTTCCTCTTAGTTACTGTGCTTGAGCTGTGGTTTCTCACTATGGAATTATTTTTTCATCGAGTCTCCTCAGCTCCACCTTCTCACCAGCCAGTGTATCATTTCCTGGATATAAGTAAATATAGGGATTTGTAATACACACGAGGAATAGCCTTATTCTTCATCTTCCTTTTGCTGTTTCTTATTGTCATTATTAATTTAGCTGACGCCCGACCTGAGTCAATTACAAAGCAGTGTTTCCTCTCCAGTCTGAGGCGGT